GAGAGAGAGAGAGAGAGAGAGAGAGAGAGAGAGAGAGAGAGAGAGAGGAAGAGAGCGTCGTTGCTTCAGAATCACTGTTGCCACTTCGACGTCAACACGCACTCGCTGTCGTTCTCAAGAACTTGGCAAATGCAAACACATCTGACAGTCACGCGCCAAAGATCCGGAGGATGATCGCCGGTTGGCATACTTTAACATTACTGCAATGTCCGATTTTTATGTCGTGCATCCTCTGGTACTCTTTTGATCGAATGTCGCGCAAAAGTTGGACGAGCGAGCGTACACCTGCCGTAACGGTTACCATTTCTAAAACACCCTATTTCGCGAGTAACGAAGAAGTTTGCTCGAAAAGTGAATTATCTCCGCGGCACTAAAACCGAGCGTCAAGTAGGAGTGGAGCATAAATATTAAGAACCCAAAGTTACGACTCGGCAAGTTATGCGCCCTCTGGCTCTGACACGAATTTCAAATTCTTATCAACATACTATTTGGAAAATCGCAAATTTCGAAAATTATGATGATGACCGTGCAGCCAAGAGTGCGCGCGCGCAAGTACGAGAGAGCGCAAATTTATTCATAATAATCTTCGACCCCCGACCACGGCAAAGCGGGTTTAGCGCGCAGGTTCGCTCGCAAATTCACCACGGCCGACGGCAAATGTGAGTCACGATCCCGTTTGCGTTTCCCGCAGGCACGTCCGAAAGTACGACTCCCAAAAATACAACCGTTTTCCCGAGACGCGATGCCGTTATCCTCTCTCGTACGTAGAAAATAAAAAGAGAGAGAGAGAGAGAGAGAGAGAGAGAGTATGTGTGTGTGTAAGAGAAAGAGAGAGAGAGGGAAGATACGAGACTCTTCCTTTTTGCTGCCTTTGCCGACCGTCAAATAATTCGATTCACCGCGGGTTGCATCAGTCTAATTATGAGCCACTTCATAGTTGAGTAACATTCACAGCAGCAATTAGCCGTTGTTGACAAACGCAATTTACGAGATGTAACTTTGTGGTAGGGACAAGCACAGACAGAAGCGCTATGCCGAAGCCATTGATGTTGCCGAACACATCGACGCCCCGTGTTGTTGCTTCCGGAGTGGTCGTCTTCCACTTCCCGGCGCAGCCTAGTTGTTCGCCAACACGGGGCTGCGTGCCACCAAAGTGTTCTGGGGTCTACTGGGGAAAATGGGAACGTCGTTATGAACCTTTGTCCCGATCCTACAACCGTATTCTCACGCTGTTTTGATTACATGAGTTTTTAAAATAATCGGATAGACTACTGCTATATATAAAACGTGATCGTCGAGAGGTTATCAACAGGAAAAAGAGTAACAAGTCTTGGTATCGATATGTGCAATCGATGAGATATGCATCGGTTGAGCGTGTCGCAAAATATTACGGAAATTGGTCATTAAAAGGAGAAAGTATGTAGGTGGGTATGATTTTAACGTCGCGGATAAAAAACGACTCACTCGGCCAAGCAATCTAATCTCTCTCCCTCGAATAAGCTGCAAATTGAGATACCGTTAATAGCAATATGAAAGTTTCTTAGTCCCTTCTTTGCCTGTTACTTGGCAATAACCCCTCTGGCTGCATGCCACTAACGACCCCAATACAGATTTCACGTCTTTATAGGCTAAGTCCGGTTCGCTCGCACATGATTTACACGCGTTTCCTTAAAGCGAGATGTATATTACGTACTTATTAAATACCTCGCGCGCTCTGAAAGTTTCCAACACGACAGGTTATCGCCTACCTTTAAAATTACAAATCAAAATATACGTTTATACTTGAATCTACCTGCATTTATTCCGCAGAACCCGCTCAGCAGCGAATTGCGGAGATATAGCAGCCCCGCAATGCACTGCACGCCAATCGACGTCCGAAAACGGAGTGGACTCTTCGGACTGCACGTACAGAAAGAGAAAGAGAGAGAGAGAGGAGAGAGAGAGCTAAAATACTCGCTGGCAGACAATATTCGCGTAGGAATGTGAGCGTTCGTAAGACCAGACACGAGACAGCATCGTGGAAGCGTCCTTGCAGCGGGAGGTAAAAGAGGAAGAAGCAAGGAGGTACGGTAGGAAGCGAGGAAGAGGAGCTCCGTCGTCACAGGAGTTGGAGGCTACAATGGCAGTGCGTCTTCTGGCGCCCTAGAGTCTCCCGACACGCCTTCTAACGTGAATGCCACAAGAACTCGCTTATCTAGTGCACGGCGTTCTTCCATACGCCGCGATATTGCAATCCACACCTCCGGAGGAACATTATTCACCGCGCGAGATTTCTGGTCTGAACGCGGAAGCAACGATTACGAGGGTGTTTATATGTTATTTTGCCTAACAGTCGAACAGGATGCTGGCTAGATATTACCTTAGATATTACTGCCTATCGAATGATTTGTGTATTAATAATGTTACAACCAACGCATATTATAATGTAGCGCGTCCTGCACTGAAATATAATCGTGTGAACAATTATTTCATCACGAATCAATGTTACATACGTAATCCTCGATTTCGACTGTTCGTTCAGGGAATAATATGCAGTCGGTAAATTGTAGGTTGAAAGTATCATGCGCATTAACTTCGTTCGTAAATGGGTTCGTATTTTACACCATTGTATTTATACATTATAATTTGAAAACCTGACGCATAAATGAGTAAAATTTATTAAACGCTATTAAATAACGATTCCGAAAAATGGCGAGGCAAAGTGTCATGAACTAAACAGAGAAAACGTGTAAATATTTGTTTTCTTTAATGTTCGCGCGACTCATATCGATTATTTCGCAAGGACATCAATCATATTCGATTCATTACAACGTGATTGTTCTATGGAATAAGTAATTAAGGACTAGCTCGAAAATCTTCCGTCCATCAAATGTCAACGAAAATCATATTTCCTTCACGGGTTTATTAATCACACTTTCTGGGAAAATCCATTAAACTATTCCCGATATAACTAATCGATATTTCACGCTATCAATTATCTTTATCGTTTATTCCACGCGAAGGTGAATGAATTGGCTGAATATGTATGAACTTTCAAATTGCGCTTACATAACAGCAGAACTAATATCTGCAATCAATAAATGAAAGTTACATACACACAATATTTGATATCGCCATGACACATCTTCGATCCATATACAATGGAAAACATCTATAATTAATAGTTGATGATTTAAAACGAATTTTAATCGCGTTTTTCCTCTACTTTGTATCATATATCAATACCTTGGCCATTGATGACGAATATCATAACAACTGTACACATAGTATCCCTCGTAAACAATCAAGTAACGCACTTTTGACAATCCATTGAGCAATAGAGTATATCGGCGCTGAACACAGTAATGCCGCGATTATAGTGAAAGTTTTCACAAAGAAAAAATTCAAGCATGTTCCATAAGTATCAATTCAATAGAAAATAAGTGAACTTTAGGAACTTAACTACTCTATTAAGTATCAATAACAAATGTTAGAATAAGAGGATAAGGCAAACAATATTCGCATGTACTAACTATGCCAAAAAATTATCTTTCGATCAACTCAAATAGGACTTGAAAGTTCGAGTAGATAAAAGGTCAGTCTTAATTGAAAGCAAATTGTAGTTTGAAGAACGTTTGAATTGGCCTAGTATGACATTCATTTCACAGGTGAACTTTAGAGTAATTCCTCCCTCTGAGTAACCACTGCGTTTTAACTCGAAAACTTATGTTAACTCGCACAACGTCGATCTGACCGAGTTTTTCTCATCAGATGGGTCCGTCGCGCTGAGTTTATCTTCGAGTTTTTCCAAGTAACGGCAAACCTTTTTAGAAAACACTTCCAACTTACATTTACCCGGGTTTTTCAAATCTTCCGGATGCTCTGTCGCGCAAATTACGATCACGATCGCTCATAAATCGAGCACAAGCCCCGACCGAGCTGTGGAATCGACCGTCACATTACGCTTGTGTTCATCTTTTCTATCTACGAGGCTCATCTACGCTAAAGGACACACCAAAGTACCCGAGATGAGCGTGCTACAGGTTGCGAACGACCTCGAAAGCGCAGCGGCTGCGACGCGTAGGGTAGAGGGATAATTAATCGTCACCTATTGATAAGAGATAAGTGAGTGAGATTAAGACGAAGTCTGGCGGGGGTGGTTCAAGAGTCGCGAGAGCCCGACGTGGAGGCGTCTGCGCGTGGCGGGAAAAGAGAGGGGATGATACGGAGTAGAGAAACACGCTCTCTCGGTACGGCCAAGCGGGATGCCTCAGTCGGGATGCCGGTCGCGCACCCTCTCGTCCATCCGGTAGCGCGATGATCGGTGAACAGCGTGTTCAACGCGTCCCGGGAAGCGCGCAAGGCCGATTCCGGCTGCTGACCGGTGCCGTGCTGCTGTCCACGATCGCGGGGAGTGCATGGACCGACAACCCCGTCGCATCCGGTGAGTGAGAGCAAGTTAACGCGTTACCCATCAATGAATTTATCAGAGTCTCTTTTTACCTCAATATCGTTCAATATGATGGAACCGTTGTTAGACAGTTATGTTGTTCCCGAGGCACCATGTCGCTTTGCAACGTGTTGATTATCATTTGGGTTTATTCGAACTTCTCTTCCTCCGAGTCTCCTGTCCTCGTTCGCGAGTGCAAAATTCACCGCTGTGGTGCTAATTGAATCCCGTGCGAAATGCGACCACCCTCCGAGTAGGAGTTTTGTTACTCACGCGCGCTCCCGTTTCGCGTGTGCGGGAAGTTTAACGAGTTTCTGTGCTGTCGTCGCCGTCGCCGTTGTCGTCGTTGTCGTCGTCGTCGTCGCCATCGCCGCCGTCGTCGTCATTGTCGTCGTCATAGCCGCGATGGTCGAATGCGAAGTTATTTTACCTTGTTTCGACGTAGGATATATCTGACATGCTGGTATTCCACGTCGCGCGAATTTTGTGGTGCGTGTCTCTTACCTGCGAGTGTATCCCTCTTGCGCGCGCGTGAGAGAGAGAGAGAGAGAGGAGGGAGGGAGGGAGAGAGAGAGAGAGAGAGTTGATCGGCGCGCGTAGGGAGTAATTCGAGATGTGAATACAATAGTTTCTGAGACCCGACGAGTTATATAAAGTCGTTCGGGATGACTGGAAATATAAGCGAGATAAAAACTGACTCGCTCATATTCTCCTGACTCGTTATGAGGCAAAATTTCAAGAAGTTTCTCATTAACACGTATCCGGACGTATTATTTCAATCCTATATTCCTTTATTTTATATGTCGCGCTTGTTAATCGGGTCTGCTTGTAGTTGGCCAAGTTTGCCAACTGTTGCGAGAAATAAACAATTAGTTACGTCGCTGTGTCATATGAAACTAGGATTTCGTATATCCAACTGCGTACGTCATTTCAACAAATTTGTCGCGATGTGCTTGTCATAATTAGCTTGTACTCTGTATATGGAGGAATATGAAGCCCTTGAGCTGATTGCTGCTCGCTGTACTTTAGTGCAAGGTTAAACTATATAAACTAATTTACGGTTTACAGCAAAGTGCCGTTTTATTAAACGAGGATTTTGCATATTTCAGGCAAGATTCGACTAGAGACAAATTTATTCGGCAAGATTCAAGATTTTGTTTGCGAAACACGTTACTCGAAGTAAAACATATTTTATGCCATCAGAAAAATGCCACATACTTATGACTGCCGAATGCGACTCCAGTTCCAGTGATTCGAATGATTACGTGGGACATCGCGATATAATTTGGTTTCCTAAATGTGGCATGAATATGAAATTTCTGAGGTAAAACTGTTTCTTCTATTTTCCTCGTGTATACTCTATACGTTGTTATAACACGTCGTGTGAAATAATGTCCAATCCAATATATAATTACTTATTGTTAATATGTGATTACTTATTGTTTAAAGTTAACATATGTAATTTATTTCAGTAAAATGTGGGTTTCTTTTTAACATTGATTAATCTCACTCATCTACATTCAAAATTATGTTACAAGTATAAGTACATTTTTCGAGAAGTTAATCGCGTCAAAAGTTATTGAAATTGTTGAAATGACGTGCGATACAATACACGATAACTTATTGAAAAAGTTGCGAAGTTGTAATTATTACTGATCTATAGGAAATTCTTTTTTGTATTAACCATAGAATGCAAGATAACGTTTTATACATGTCGACCCAAACTGTTGTTATTCTACAAGAACTACGATTTTTCGCTTCCAAAATCGCTATTGTGAAAAATACTACGTTATGAACATATTTTATTGCATAAAATTTCAACATGCAACACACTCGACGCCTTGCATATATCGAAATTAATTTCGGTCGTTTTACAATCAAACCAAGCCGCTAATTTATTCAATTAGCAAATTTGTGCGTGTGGTTCAATTGAAAACATTAACGCGCAAATGTGGAATACGCGTTATCATAAGTCCCTAGTCTAATATTCGATCCTGCGCACGTATAAATTTGCGCAATTCAAATTTCAATATGTAATTGTCGGTCTTGAGGCATAAAATTTATTCATCAGAAACAATTTGATTTAAGTAAAATGGTATTATAACCGCGACGTAGCATTTCTTCCTCTCATATCTGGCTTGTAAAAAGTGTTAAAACTGTCCGCCCGTATATTATAAAAATGGGTCACTGAATTCGATCGCTAAATTTTACTAGTTTCGTCGGAACATTTAAGAAGTTTCAATTTTACAGAGACTCCGCTATACTTTTTAATAGGATTTACAAACTGGGGTAAAATCAACTTCGCGCTTTACTCATTTCCTCAAAGGTGTCCTCGTGAACTAACAATGCGAGTAGGATCATGTCTTGGACGACCCGATATTAAAGCTGCCATAATTAAGCGCTGTTTCGCTGGCCAATCTTAAAAAGACTCACCAATTAAACGTCACTGTGATTGCTTTTTTCCGTGCGATGCTTCAATATCAGAAATATTAATTATGCATGATGTTTGATATGCTAATGTAACTTTCTTCAGCCGCCAGGGTACCGATTGAATACCTCAAGATATTTCTATTAAGAATATTGGACCATCAATAAAAAAATTTTCTATATTTATATTCTATTGCGAATGCTGTATAAAGCGGTTGTTTTAAAGTTAGTGACATCAATTTTGTGATATTGCGCGCGTGATTACGTAAAATGTGTTGCTGTCACGTAAATACGTGCGATGCAGCGTACATATAACTTTTATTTATATACGAAAAGTTAAACGATTATGTTTTAGTGTACATTCACGCAAAATACTCTCTCAACGAGAAATTTTAGTTGGAATATCTTATTGATCAGAGGTCCTGTTGGTCGCTTGACCGTCCTACATCAAATCATCGAGGTGCACGCGATCGTACACCAAGCTTACTCTTTTACTGCTTTCTTGCGAGCGTAATAAAAAAATTCCAAGTATGGGCATCCGAGTAAAAGGATGTTTGAAATACCGGTTATGGCGGTACTCGACCAGTCGTAAGAACAGCGTACGAGTTTCGCGAATGGAAGTGGTGGATGTAAATGGAAATAAGCTTGCGGGGGGTCGAGGGGGTGCACTGAATCTCGTGGTGAGACGATAATCTAACCGAGTAGCAGATTTCCAAGTCGGAAGGGAACGGAGGGTTTACGCTTGCAGTATCTCTCCCTCTCTCTCTCTCTCTCTCTCTCCCTCTCTCTCTCTCTCTCTCTCTCGTCTCGAAAAGTATGATTTATTTATTTATATCATGTTTCTACCATGAACAACACGCATTGTCCCGCATACTTTACTCGCGACGTAAAAGCAAATGTGAGAGGGTAAGTTATTGTCGTCAGCGTAAGTTGACGTTTAGTTTTCATCGTAGCGTGATTGATGACAGCTCGTTTACCATTCGGAAAAAGAATTTTGACGTTTCACGTCGAGTTTTCCCTTCGGAAGAAACCCAAATGTAAATCTCAGAAGCAAGTATAAGGCAAGGCAGACCGGATCGCGAAAATAAAACGACGGAGAAGAATCCGCGGCAAGAATTATAAATTCACACAGATACAGTCGAAAAACGCGGGGAGTCGAAGAAATTGAGCAGATAAATTCATACATAGAAAATGGAAAAGTAAATCTCGGCGCATTTCGCAGTGAAATAGCAGATGCGGAAATCTCCGTCTAGAGATAGCTTTCCCGCGTTAGTAGATTTAAGCATCTTCAAGTGTAAATCTTAGGGTATAGAAGAAAAGACAGGAGAGGTAAATGCACGGCTCCTGTCGATTTATCTTCGGTAAGAAGGGGAATGCTCTCAAAGTAAATGCTGGCTGTAAATCAGCTTGCATTTTCTTTGACCACGTGCAACAAAAGCATGCGTGTGATGTATGCACGGACTGTATATAACCCGCTCCAGTAGCGTAGAAACGCTGGGCCAGTCTGGTAACGAGGGTATGCACTCAACGCGAAACATCCACTAAATTTCTTAAAGCCACGGCGTGATGCAATTCTCTGGCCGAGGTGTCAACGCTTCTCGATTCAAATAAATTGAACTTATTTACGTAGAGTTCGAGTCGCGCTTATTTGCTCAGATATCAGATCGTTCGAGTGGAAAGCTTCGCGAAATTGACTTACTCGTTGATCAATACGCGAGATTTTCGAAGCTTGCATAAATTTCACGATCAAGACATATTTATTACAAGGTAATAAACCGTGCAAAATTTCAGGGCAGCGTAATTCGCTACCTTCGCGATATTAATGTCTCACTTTTGTAATTATCTCGATTATTTCTATTAGCAAGTAAAACCTTTCCCAAATTTAGTAGAGTTTTGTGTGCCGCTGTTTAATCTTCAACTTGTTTCATCATTTTACGCGGAATAAAACGAGAAATGAAGATTATGCTAATTCGATCAATATACATTTGATGCATCGGATTTTTCCCCGATAAAAATACTCGCAATTTCTTCTATGCTAATACAATTGCTATCCTCTGTTAGCCAAAGCTAATCTACATCGGCATCGCCGTCATCTAAATGCAAACAACGATGCCATTTCCGTCCTATAAAATTGAAGGGTAGCGGAATAATCGCAGTATACATTACTCGTTTTCGGAACAATGCGCGCACAGATGTCTAATTGCCGCGTGCAAAAGGATATGTCGCTAATCTCGTTAAGCGGATATCACATTATTTGCAGTCTTCGCGAACGTCCGGGTTTGCCTTCTAAGGCGCGAGCTTGAATCCGCACGGAACGTGGTGGATTTAGAGTTAATTTAACTTTTACTTATTTAACTTTTATAGAGGGATAATGTATTTATGGATCCCTATGGTATACTCGACTTTTCTGCAAGAAAAACCGTTGGGCCTTAAAAGTTGTACGACATACCTTAGAAATCGCACTGCGTCGAAACAGCAACTTTACTTATCCCTTCATGGAGTAAGAGATCCTTGGTTAATTGAGGGCTCGCGCGCTCCGGATTAATTGCGTCAATATTAACGCGATG